ACGACATATGTCGGCTTGTACATTTGTCATTTTCAAAATAATGTCTTTAATATCATTTTGACGTCAAAATGACAACAAATAATGACAACCTGTTTACTGGAACGTATCTCCAGTTTGGTGTCTATATATGCGAGAACAGTCTCTCTCTCTTATTCTGTAAATTCGAACTTTCGTCGCGTTCTAACGCAATATCGATCATTGGGCATACTCGTGATAAGCATCATTACTTCTTGTTTAAATTTCACATACCGGCGCTTAAGAATCCTTAACAGCTAAGATCGTGTATCCATGACTCGAGTATCCATAGAAATGGATATTTTACATCGTCATACGCCCTCCAGTAAGATCTACGCGTTAAGATTACAAAATCTGAAAAAATCTCGCCTTTCGGAAAGATCGCAAATGTTTTTTGAGTTCTTCGAGGAAAGGAGAGATCTGTATGGTTATTTCTTCGAGTCAAAAGAAGAAAATTGAAGAGACCCCGTGGACCGCGACGGGATCACTCGAGGTGTTCATTCGCTCCTACGTAACGTCTTAATGGGAATTAATTAATACACAATTGAACCGATCGGGCAATCCGGTGCTAATTGACCGGTCCATGTAATTACAAATTTCCTTCTAATAGCTTTTTATTGATTTAGTTCTAATATCTCTAATATACAGTTAACTATTTTATTCTATCTGCTTTTGAATGACTTATTTGAAGAAATGTGTTGAAATTCACATAATATTCGCCTTCATTTACCTAATTAAAAGAATTATTTTTCATTCGATACATATATAGTATATTTATAATATATAATATATAACATTATATATTATATATATAGTATATAATATTATATATATGTATATATGACAGATTCTGCGTTGAATTTGGAATAGATTTTTTTATAACGATAAAAGATTCCTATTTTTTCCTTTATCTTTTTTTCCCCTAAATGTGTCAGATAAATAAAGATGATAAGAGTAAATACAATGTGCAATGTATTATACTATTCTATTTTTATATATTATTTAAGCCTTTCTGAGAGAGCTTTTTAAGGGCGATGAACAACACTAGTCCCATCGCGATCGCGAATAACAATGGTACGCCATTTTCGTTGGAAAGAGAGGGATAAGAAGAGATTACGGAATATCGATGGTTTTTCGCTCGTGTTATCAGTCACAGAGATCGATCGGCACAGGGGAAAGCCCGGCCGTCGTCTCGGGGGTTGAAGACGAAACAGATTGTAAAAGATCAATGAAGTGAAGGAATATTACATTGGCAGTGTTACGGTGTACAACAAACGCGACAGACAGAAAATCGAAGCCGAGGCGGTACGCTTGAAAGTTTTATCCTCCGAGAGCGACTCTCGACAATGATAATTTCCAGCTGGCGTAGACTTTCAACGATCGTTTGTTTGAGAGTTTTATTTTCCAAGTCTCGATGGAGATCTGTTTGAAAATTTTATTCTCCGAGAGCGACCTTCCCCTTCGATGATAAATTTTTCAAGTATAATCTAAGAATAGAACGAAAAAAAAATATATAGATATGTACATATATGTATATATGAGCGCCGTCGTTCTGATAATTTAAAATCAACACTGAGAATATCGAATATTTATATGACGTTGAAAGTATCGTGAATTCAAACAATATTTCTAACAACAAAAAATACTTCTACACTTTTTATCAAAATTTATTCTATACAAACAATATTTTCAAACTTTGCAGTCATCAATTTCAATCCTTTCGTTGCCGAAATTGCTGACATACACAAATACAAAGAGTAAAATTTTTCTCTCTGTAGATTCAAATTTATTTTAATAACTATTGAAATAATTATTAATAATTATTAAAAGTGTTGAAATTGTCAAAACATAAATGACTGCATGTACTGTGGCAACGAAAACATCAAAGACGCTCATTCGTTTGTATAAATTATATGATAAAAAGTATTTCGCAATATAATATATCCAATAAAATATATTTTAATAAAATATCCTTTTTTTGGCGCTTATAAGAAAAGAGTTTTACAATTATCTCTTAAACGAGATTATTTCTCACGCTACTCGAGTACAAAAGCTGTTTGTATCAAAAAGTAAATTCGACAACAAATAATAATCAGATCTATATTACCGTTGACAAAAAATCATTTCTTAAACGCGACCAATAATTACAAATTTATTTCTAATGTTACATAATAATTGATTGATTGTGTCGAGTGCTATCTAGTCTTCTACGTGCGCAATAACGATTTTATTCATATCTACAGAGCTTTCTTTGGTACGAAAAATATATTTGAGAATGCGCATTTATCGCTTAAAATGGAGCGATTCTAATTTATAATATATGTATATACGTTTCTCTTGACCACATCTTTATAAATTAATGTTTTAAATGATATAAAGACAAAGATATGAGTATTAAACGTCATAATAAAATGCATTGTATTTGCTAATTCAAGTAATAACAAATTATCGTAATTTATTATTCGTCTGTTCAAATATGCATCAATTACATAAATACACACACGTATATACGTTTGTGTATATATGTGCGTATATATATATACACACACACGCACACCAATAAAGAATGAAACTTAATTATTAGGTTTGTTTTTTATTCCTGCCGACTACAACTTTCTTTTTCTCGCTTTCCCCCAATATCAAACATATATCTATTTCACTTTGAATTCCAAAGATGTACAATAGTTCAGCTATAGAAAACAAACCTATTATAACGCAAGTTTAGGTATTCAGAGAAGAAATATCTAATATGTATGTGTATGAATCTTATGATAATAACTCCCTTTTTTCGTATTACTACGAACGTTTCAAGAAGACCGTGCCAGTTTCTTAATATATGTACGTTTCACGTATATATCGGAGTGCGCTGGAACTTTCTCTATTATGCACTACCGTTATCTTTCGCTAATAATGTATACAAAATTCGTAAAGTCAAACGTTGCAAATTATTTTCTTGTATTTAAAACGGTAAGAAGTAAAGTACAAATGTACTGTAAAAATGGAAGTATGCGATATTCATTACTAATTTAATTCTGTAATACACAAGTATGAAAAAATAAAAATATAATATAATTAAAGGTTCTATAAATTCTTAAAAAAAAAAGGTAAAAACATGCGAATCTCGTAAACATATTAGTTAAATGCGCATAAAGACACTCATGCATCCAATGTGCGAAATAACCAGCACCTTGCTTCATGAAAGAAAAATGAGATTTCAAATGAGATTCTTATTACAATTATATTATTACAGTTATATTCTTTCTGTTTTCGTCTCTAGGCTAAAATCACGAGTATGACCGACAAATTATTAAAAATTTCTAATCAAATTACGCCGTTAACTGGTGTCAATCTTGAATCCTGCAAATTTTCGGTCGTGCGATGAAGATTAATTGGAATCACAGTGAATAGAGGTAACAAAGTGAAAATATTCTTTTTCGACCGATTCTAGCTGATCAAAGTTTATCTCAACAAATGATTTGCATTTATATATAAAAAAAAAAAATTCTGATTTGGCACAATATTCTAATGCAAAATGCACACACAAGACCGAATGTACGGTTTATACCTTCCTTAAATCTGTATCAGTTGCAATTGTTATCTCTACTCACTTCGATCGATTTAGAATATGAATATTATATGCATTCGCTACAAATGGATACATAAATAGTGAATTCTTCGACGTATTCATCGATCTTTCATACGTCTTTCTATTTTCACTATCAACGATCAATTTTTTTCATTCGAGCCAAAAAATACAGCCTATTTACAGCTTATGTCGAAGCATTGTACTTCCTCAATTTAATCATTTCAGTAACATGAATTCTTTTAATAACTCTTATGGCAATTACAATATTTTGTCCACTGCACTGTAGAAATTATGCTAAGAAAACAATAAAAATATAAGAACTTATGACGTATAAAAAAATATTTAATTTTTTCAGACTTAAAAAAGACTACCAAGGAGCACTTTATTTCATAAATTCCTAAATTTTTAAGAAATAATTATATAATTAAAACAAGGGATTAACGAACCGTAAGCGTTTCTCTTTCTCCCCCCCCTCTCCCCTCTCTCTCTTTTTCTCTCTTTAATAAAACAGTTACTTAAAAACAAATGTTTCAACCAATACATGAGATCATTATCAATGTTACAGATTCTAGATTACACAGTTGATATCGCAAACAAATGGAATAAAATTCAATGCCAAAGCCAAAACCAGTTTTTATATTTGTTCTTTAAACATTAACGACCACTTGAATATCATGTAAAGCAGTTTATCATTAATATACTGTAAAGGCAAATTATTTCAAAAGATAAGGATTATGGTGCTCCGACCAAGCATTGAATTGTTATATATTCATTACAAAAAATTGGCGACCTGACGCAACAGATAACCATAAAAACATAAGGAGATGGCCATGACTTAAACATTATGATGGAAGTAATAGTCCATCACAATGAAAAACTGGTGACACTTACGGATAAGATTTGTAAGAAATCGATCCCCCCCCCCCCCCACCTTGACAGAGAACGAACATGAAAATTAGGCTTGGCGATGAATTCTATCGATTTGTTTGCGATATCAATTGTGTAACAATCTACTTAGAATCTGTAACATTAATAATGACCTCGTGTATAAATCAAAACGTTCGTTTTTAAGTTGTTTTTAAGTAACTGTTTTATGAGAGAGAGAGAGAGAGAGAGAGAGAGAGAGAGAGAGAAACGCTTATGGAGCCTTGTTTCAATTATTTAATTTATTATTTGAGCCGTTTTCTTATATTGTGATTTTAAATAATTGTTTTTTAAATTCATTACAATTAAAAATATTATATATTATACACATTATATATTATATATATAATGTAATTAAATGTATTTAAAATTATAAATGAATAATTTTCTAAAACAAATGCAGCGGATAAAAGCTTTTCGAATATGCACGAGGCCAACACGTATTCGTAACTTCTTCGACAAAAACAATCGTCTTACCATCTATACAACACTGTACATTGTTAATCGAAGTCCTTAAAAGAAACTCGATTATGTTCTGAATATTAGCCGAGTGATCAATGGACATCCCTTTCAGCGCATGAAAATATTTCATACAGCTCAAGTCTAAAAAGAAAATGTTACTTACCATAATTAGCGGACGTAACCGGTTGGAGCAGTCCATTCGCTCCTCGGCCAAAGGCGTTTCCTTCTACTCGATAAGGAAAGTCGCGCATACATTTATATCTAGCGTTACACATTCAGCCGATTCTTCGGATAAAATAACCGAATTCTTCGATTCATCGATCAGTCGCGCGCCAACGAGAAAAATTTTCGCGTATGTTTCCCGTTTTGATCTCGACGCGATCATTGTTCGCATTTCGTCTCCACTCCGTCAGAGTTCGAAGATAAATGTCCTGCCGAATCAAGTGCGGGCAAGATCACAGAAACAACTCTAAGGCTTATTATAGTTGCGTCCTATCGCGATACCTCGGTTTACCGCTAAATGCAAGTGGAATCCGGATGTTGGCTAGCGGACTTCCTTGTCTTCTTCGGTTCCTTTGTTGTTAATTCCTGAGATGGTCTGCGTGGGCTGCCTAGCGTCACCAAAGCGGACGCCACGGCTAGACCAGCGCTCTGTCCGGCTGGCGTATAAGGCTCGCCGCCAGTCGGCAACCTGACTAGCAGAGACAGAACCGCCGCTCTGTTGCCACAGCAAGGCTCCAGTGCGATCGGACTAGGAGCATTCTGAACAAAAAAAAAACTCAGTAAATAGTCGGGTCTTACTCAATTTATGACATTCTAGTTGCAAAATGTAAGAATTCATATAAGAGCAAAAAAACTATTCAGACTATTGCTTGAAAACTATGTAAGAATCTCCTCTGAAAGAAAATTCACTTTTTCTTTACAATAAAATTATTTAATATTAAATATATGTTTAATAAAAAATACAGGCACAATTAGATATTCGTTAAAAATACATAATCTAAACAAAATCATTCACGTTTACCTTCTTCTTTTTACGACAATTAGTAAAGTCGGCGTCACCGCGTTCTATATCTGAGTTGTCAACATCGCGTCTCTCGATTTCCACTAGAACTTGACTGAATGCCCTGCTAGCCATTTGCTCCATTTCTAGGAAGAGCCTTTGTCTTCGTCGATACATGTCGTATTTTTGCTTGATCTTCCAAAGAATGGCAGCCACCAGTAACAGAGCGAGGAAGCACCTGTGCGGTGGCATGTAATCTCTAGTTTACAAGTAAGTACTGCCTGAGGTTCAACATGGCAAAAAAAGTATAGAAATTTGAAAAAAATAAAGCGTAAACGGTCAATGGATGTTATCTGTTATCTCTCAAGATTATTTTTCATGTATTGCACTTATTAAAGATTTAACGCAATTTTAACTCGCTTTATTTTAGATTAAAAATTGCTCCGAAGTCCAAATTATGGTACTCACGTGCAAAATGTAATGAAGAACTGCTGTAAATTCAGTTTGGAGTATTGAGAGAACGAGATCTGGATCCACAATGGCGGTTGAAAGTCATAGACATATACGTAAAATGTAGTGAGAGTATTGTTATCTTCGCTGCCGAAGTTGTAGTCTGCTTTGCTAAAACGGTGCTTGTACATAGTCGTTGTGCAATTTGCGTTGGTCACCAGTTTCACTTCGTCACTATTTACTTTCTTGATGCTGACATTCATCTTGGCAAGCACGGAACATGTGATGGAGAACTCAGCATCAATGTCGGCTTTCGGTGGCGAATTTTTGAAGTTGATTGCTCGGTAGTGACGATCCTCTTTTTTGCTCAAATTAAACGTAAATTGATAGTCGATAGCTAAGTCATCTGAAACGCAAACGTATGAGAGCAATGGGATAATTTTATTGAAATAAAGGTATTAAATTATAAAATGAAATGTATCGATTAACTCACAGAAACAAGACCCTTTATTAATCGTAGGATCACCGTGATAGAGACCAGATACGTCACAACGTTCGCAGTGATCGCCGATAATACCTTTAGTTGTGCAATAACATTTACCCGTCTCGCTCGTGCATAGAGTTCCTTGATTATTGCAGGAACAAGCTGTAATAAGAATGCACAAGTGTCATTAAAATGTCTTTTTCTCGTTTGTGATAGTTGGAAATGATAATGACATTAATGATATAATACATAAAAGAAGATACTACGTACGCTGACATGTGGCTCCATTGAGTGGGCTACCATAAAAGCCGGGGATACACTTATCACAATGTGATCCATAAGTCAAGTTTCCGCATGGTTGAATGCATTCACTAGTATTTGGAAGACACCTACTATGACCGTTACACTGACAAGCTGTGAGAATTAAAGAAATCGAATTAGTAAAACAGTGATATATGACATAAAAAGAGTTAAGACACAACAAAAAATCTCACTTACTTGGACATTTTGTGAAGTACCAATGTTCGAGCAAACACGTGTTCGAGCTTTTGCTGCTGGGTCCACGAGCTCCACCAGGCATACACGAACCTTTCCCGGTGTCCGATCCATCATCGCACCAGCCGCAACCGGGATCCGATCGGCAAGCGGCGCATGATGAATAGAAACTACACCATTCCCTGCCGGTTTCTGTGGCACGACACCGAGCGTCTATCGTTGTCCACTCGCGACATTGTCCATATGGAAAACTGGCCGGATACGCATTCTTGTCTACACATTTGGCCTCGTTTTGACACCAGATACAATCAGATTCTGTGCAATTGCGGCACGCCGTGTACTCTGCGCATGGACTGCGGCACGGGTCCATCGTCAAACGCTGCGCTTGGATCGTACCGTTCAACACGCTCACCTGTTTCAGAAATTAATAAGACATATAATTATCACTTGTTTAATCATTAAAATTCACTTATTTAATTATTTACTCGTTAATTCTTTACAAGCTAAGATTGTCATGAAAACTATTATCAATATTAAGTATCATATTTTAATTAAAATATATACTCATAATTATTTATATGTGAAATATTTCAGAAGAAATTATTTGTAATGAGTATTTCATTATTTGTAATGTTATTTCGCCATCCCGTACAGCTAGTAAAGTGATAAAATATGCTCTCATATGTACCTCTCGAGTTTTTGACTGTGGTTTGCAACGATCAGGTCCATTGGACCACGACCAAATGCAACGCGGATTGCTGGAACAAGCATGGCACGTGTGTAATTGCAGACATTCGATGCCAGTGTTCTGATCACAATGCTCTAGTTCTGTGATGGCCGAATTCGGCAAATTTGGATTGTCCCGGCAACTCATGTGCAGACAACTCTTGCCACACCACACACAATTGTATGAGGTTTGCACGCATGTAACACAGTCGGTGAAGAGTTTACAGAGTTCTGCATGCGACGTCATGCCACGGGGTGGCTTGTCATCCAGGTTACATTTCATATAAATACCATCGTGTTCGTCGTATTCCTTATGGTTGAGCACGTGTTGCGGAATCTTTGTGATCTGCAGGCATCGATTATCTCGTTTATGCCACACGCATTTTACGCCTATTCTGGCATTCAGGCACTGATTCTGATTCGTTAAATGCTCGCAATTGCCGGGGGTATACCTGCGCAATAGCAATATCTCAACATCCACAGATAAATAAGAACTTTAAAATAAGATAAAATAATGGAACAAGAATGTTTAAAACAAAATATATTAAATTGATACCTCAACATGTCAGACAGCATTTCACCATCGAAGCCGCCATAAATATACATCGACTTCTCAAAGACGGTTGCGCTGTGACCGTACCGCGGAAGATCGCTCATATCTCTGGGCATGGTGTACTGATGCCATGTATCGCATGTGACATCGTAGCCAAGCGTATCGGCCGAGTAGCATCGCGCGCCGTGCGATTGCTGTGTGTCGTTGTGCATATTACCGCCAAATACCAACATCAGTCCGCTCGTGACAAAGGTAGCCGTATGAAAGAAACGCGCTGACGGCGCCGACGTAAGCAACCGCCATTCACAATAATTAGGATGGTACGAATACAGCCGACTGCTCAAAATATGTGTGCTTTGTGACTCCGACACGTAACCACCATACACGTAAATGAGATTCGTAAGAGGATCGTAAGCGGAACTGTGTCCATAGCCACCTCTCACCGGAAAACCACTCGTCTTGACAATCTGCCACTCGCGCGTACCCAAAGAGTACTCCTGGACGGTGTTTAAGTAACCATACTGTGGCGAATAGCCGAATATCACAACCATCTTCTCCTTCTTGCCATGACTCACCCGGGTCGCAGTGTGTCCGGCTACCTGTAAAAACAATTTGTTAAAATCAGAGAGGGGATCCAGTTAGGAGTTGAAAAATAAAAATAGTGACATACGGTGATTTTTGGCGTAATTCAGGCAACTAAAGTGTATCAGAACGTTTTCGCGTATTTGATTCTTAAAGACAGAGCTACTCGACTCTCATTCTCTCTCTCTTTCTCTGTCTCTTCTATCACGTTAGAGCAGAAAATTATTTTTAAACAATATCAAACTCGTGCGTATGAAAAAAACCAACGGTTTTAGCACGATAATTGTATGTACAGGTTATCAGAATAAACTCCACCTCTCTGTCAACATTTATTAATAACAATTTTGATACATGTACCAAACAATCACCAAAAGTCGCCTACAGATAGTAAAATAAAAAAATATAGATAGTAAAGTAGTTCAGAAAATTTCCAGCAATTTTGGTAATTTATCATTGTTTATGACTGTAATAAACATTAACCATTGTAATAAAAATTATTTATCATTAGAGCAGGAAATTATTTTTAAACAATATCAAACTCATGCGTATGAAAAAAACCAACGGTTTTAGCACGATAATTGTATGTACAGGTTATCAGAATAAGCTCCACCTCTCTATCAACATTTATTAATAACAATTTTGATACATGTACCAAACAATCACCAAAAGTCGCCTATAGATAGTAAAATAAAAAAATATAGATAGTAAAGTAGTTCAGAAAATTTCAGCAATTTTGGTAATTTGACTGTAATCATTGACTGTAATAAACATTAACCATTGTAATAAAAATTATTTGTATCTTATAAATCCAAATTCCTTCTTAATTCATCATTATTAATTTACTTTATTAATTTAATCATTATATTTTTCGGATTTTTTAAATAAAACGCACGTACCTTCAGTGGGCCACATATTGTCTTGTTGTGACAATTATCGTGCACGGTAACGTTCTCCCAGATCTTGGCGGACACGTCAAACGCCCAGATCTCGTTGGTCACGGTGGAGTTCTCCACGACGCCACCGTACATGAATATCTTGTCGCCGAATAGCACGCACGAGTGCGCGTATCGCGGTAACGGCATTCGGCCCTCGACGTGAGGTGTCTCCCAAACATTGCCGTTATAATCGTACACATATATCATCTTGGCACGATGGAAACTCTCACCGCCAACCACGTACAGCGAATCCTTCCAAACGATGGAACAGTGACTGGCTGAGCCGTCCGGCGGTAGATCCTTGTACGTGACACTCTCCCAAAATCCACGGTCGCCTCTTTGGCTACAATCCGCACCTGCGACGATCGTGCATACATGAGTTTATTTTGACTATATCTATTTTTTATCTCAATATGTATTTATTATACTTCATTTCCAGTTTAAACAGTAATAGTTCGTAAAAAATTATTACTGATAATTACAACACAAGATTGTAAATACACTTTACTTGTTCTGGGAAATATAGTAAATGAGCTTATATTAAATATGTGCTTATTACATTAAAACTTATGCTACTATTAGTACAATAATTATGGATACGTAATATAATATCTAACATTAAGTTTAAATGTCGAATATCACAATATTCATCGATCATGTGATATTAAAAATTATGATGTTAGTATGCTACTATTATTCTAGATCGAATATCGAAAAGACATTATCTCGAACGTATTTAGGTAGTAGCTGAATTTTATCACATCGTTATATTATAATTTTATTTTTCATCGCAGATCTTGCATCAATCTAAAGGTGCAATTTCAGTTAAAACAAGCAATTGGAGCGACAGATCTGTTGCTGTTATTCCCACGGCTGGAATTTTGTAATTTAAACAGTATCGATTACAAGCGTTAAATCTCAAATGCTGCTTTTTCTTCTCTGATATAACGTTTAAATATGACATCAATGTTTTTTGTTGTGAAAAATAGAGTTTACGATATATTGGCTGCGTTCGGCATTGTAAATATGAAATGCCAAGCTAGCAGACAGCGAGCAAGAAGATAACATGTAGATAACACATCAGAAAAATATGAATTGCCAAAAGAGTTTCGAGAAAGAGTAAAAGAATGCATCAGATTTACAATGTCAAACAACTCTTGCCCTCGAAAATGTATCTATTTTTTTATTTTTTAGATAAATCTAATCAATAATTTTTATATACTATGAATTGTTAACTTTTAAAAATCGTAGCACAGACTTTTAAGATGCATAACGCATGATACATAAGAAAATGAATCAATCAAAGTTTTTCATTTCCTTCCTTTGAAATAAAAGACTACTTGTTTCTTATATCTTATGCTACATGTATTATGCAAAAAGATCTACAATAATTCATGTCATTTTTTTCATGAATGTAAAATCATTACGTGACTCGAACAGTAGTTCGGATTGAGCAGCTCGTGAAAATATATCTTTATTCAAGAGTTATCAAAAGATCTTATAATTAATTTTACTTTTGGACATGCGTGAAGTATAATTTCCGGCGTCTCATTAACAACTACATGTCACCATTACACCTCGTTATCTCCTTACCTTTAAAGCCGTGAAAACAGCGGCAGTGATGGCTCTCGCGATCACACTCGCCCTGCCCATGATGGAACGAACAATTGTTCGGGCATACCTGCACGTCGCAGGCCTCACCGGTCCACATGGCGTCGCAGGTACATGTGCCCTCGATACACACACCGTGGCCAGAACAATCGATATGGGAATACCTGCAAAAAGTGACGCACGTGATATCATTGAGTCAATCTTGTCTTCGAGTGACGCGGTGCCACCGTAATGATTTAACGTCGTTATTAAGCAAATACAAATATTCTCATGTGCTATTTATTTGATCGTATAATACATTGTTTGCCTCTATTAACTTCTTCCTACAAAAAAGATTTACTCTCAATATTTGAACGGTGCAAGATAGAAAAGCAAATAATTCAAGAAAAGCATATATATGTATCATGACACACGGTGGTTCGAATGATGGATCGTCTGACGGATTTTCTGATAAATCTGAAGTCAGATTTTCCTGGAAGAGTTTTATATGATAACAGTATCGAGAAAGAGATAATCCTCGTTCCTCATGTATCATGTTTAAAATCGAACCAGGCAAAGCCTTTGGTAAAATACTAGCTGTATCTTAAAAATGATCCCCGTTCTTCCGGATAAAATCACAAGCGCTTTTTTTGCCAGAAATCGCCTTCTGTATCGTAGGTAATGTTATCAAACGTGACGCAGATAGGGTTACGCGTATTTCCGGCTCGCAGAGGAAGCTCGATAAAGTTCCTAAGTCGACAGCGACCCAATTACGAGTTATCGGCAGTTACCACTCTCCATGTAATCTCTTCATTCCATTCCTCTCAGATTGACCGCCACCTTGTCAAGTATCTCGCAACACCATGTCTTTCTTTTTCAACAGACACATGTGACATGAAATAATTTATTCGGCTCTGATAAGATATCGCTGCAAATTACACGAGTAAAATGCGTGTCGGATTATGCTTCTACTTACTAAAAGCTATTACGTAATGGTCACATTTTAGGATCGACCGACGTATTATTACGGCTTATTAACTTGCGCCATAATCTTATGAATAACTTCGTAAAATGATCCGCTTCATTTTTTCTCTACCATGAAAGAATCATTTTACTAAGAAAGATATCAACTGTATATATGTTAACTGTGCTATATAGTTACCTTCAGCACACTGCATTGATTAAATATAACGTTTAGTAAACGCATTGAATCATTTCTTAGTATACTCGATGAAAGAAAAATATAAATTTTTTAATATAAAATCTAAATATAAATTGACACAAATATGTAGGATGACGTACGAAATGGCATACTATTTAATATATTCAATTTTCCAAGCTTTAATAATTCTATACCAGTTGTGTACCAATTTTGTTCAAAATAAATGTGTTATATATAAAGTAAGTAGTATGATTGTATGATATTTCGTGCGCCATTCTAAATATATTGAGAGCTGAAAAGAAGGTAGAGGATTAGAGAAACCGCGGTGAGTAGTGCGGTGCGCTCACCTGCTTGGGCAAGCGTTGATTTTATATGTAATGTTAAAGCCGCTCATGTTGTATGCGACATCGGAATAAAAGTGCAGTAACGCGCTACCGGATCGCGCTATTACTTCCGGCACACGGCGTATGTGATAGCTGTCCTTGTGCATCAGGCCGGAGAAGACGGCCAGCAGCGGCGCCTCGACGCTATCACCGTCGTAGATATACAAATGGTCCCAGCCGCATTCTGTCGCAAATTGCTCCACGTGCATCCGTATCTTCGTGTTCGGACTGCTCTCAATCAACCAGGAGCACCTTACATCCGCAGTATAGTTGCCAAAGCCATCGTGGATGCTCCCAATTCTCTCTGATAATCTGCCGGAAGAACAAGAACACCCAATTATACAAGTCATCATCTTGACGTGAACATTAGATCTTAATAATATCAATAAAACTAATAGTAGTTAAAATAACGATGATGATCCTTATAATTGAAATAATGGCTAACAGGAATCAGTGCGGTAATTAGAGCGCAACAAGAAAATTAAAGTTGATTTAATATTTCATATATATATTTAATATATGAAACATTAAATCGACTTCAATTTCACACATTTCGGTTCATTTTAAATCTTCATTATCAGTATACTGTTGTATAAATGTTGGAAAAAATCATTTAAAAATCGGTAATAACTGATACTCAAGTGTAGTCTGCGACGATCCCAAGCCCCATGTTAAATTTTAAACTATTTTGCATCATATTACAAGCATGAATAAGATTCCAACATAATTTTGATAATGTACTGACGCAGTGAGATAAATTAGCATTTTATCGATGAAATAACAGATGAAGACAAAGTATGTGTTTATTTAAAGAATAAAAAGAAATAGTCATGAAGTAACCACTATTTTTATAATGCTGATGATAAATGTAAAAAAATGCGTTTATAAAACGATAATAAGATAATATATACATATATGATAACATGAAAATCGAACTTTATTTCTTATGATGCAACTTTAATGCAAAAAAGTTACATTATAAAAAACAAAGTTTGATTTTTTTATATTATGGTATATTGTCGTATTATCACATATATGTATATAATTATATACTTTGTGCAATCTATATCATAATAATAGACAATAGTTTTAATAGATTACACAAGCATGTAATTTTTGATTCAGTTTTAATGATATAAAAATGTACTGAGTTAAATGTGCTTGCATTAACAGTTAAAAGAGTAACTCTAGTTGTAAATAAGTTATGAATGTAAGCGATATGAAGGAGAGATATATCTCACAAAAAATACGTCAAGCGCAAAGTTCAACATGGCTGTGAAGTAGGTAGTTGAAATCATGATAGTTCTTGCATGTTTTTTTAAGAGAGAGAAAGAGAGAGAGAGAATGAAAGTGTATGTGTTTTTGTGATCCTAAATGTAAATGAGTTTTCTCTCCTTTCCTCGTTTTCCTCTCTGCCTTCTCCCTCCCCCCTCTTTCTCCCTCTTTCTCTTTCATTACCTTCCTATTGCTAGAGTGTTAATAAAATTAAAATTAATTCAATCAATATCGCGTTTGTAAACACGAATAATGGTACATAATCCGAATAATCCGAACGGTCGTACGTATTTCGTTACGTCGTATTGCATCGATATGCTGATCAGGCGGATGCAACGAGCGCGACACGGAAGAGCAACATCAAGCGGGTACATCATCGTCAATGAGATCCTAACGCGCTAACTTCATTAATTATTTTTTTTATCCGACGATCGCACTTGTAAGCCCATAATGATGGAGATACGAGACGAACCGGAAGTCGGCAGAATGAAAAATGACATTCGACGTTCTTGATACGTTCAGAGAAAATGCAGCACATCTTAAAGCTGCAAGTCATCGTTTCTGCACTCGAAGGCAAAGATGCGGAAACAGGCGTGGCGTAATTAAACGAGAAAATATATAAAAAGATATTAAACTTTAAATTTGTATCGAAAGAAAAAGGAAAAAAGAATTTAAGCCTTGGATATAAGAGAAGATCTTTAGAACTTCTCACATTTATTTATTTTTTTATAATAATCTCAGTACTTTCAAACTTTTTCCTTCTTCCATGTACAGGGTGTTACAGATACATACTAGGCAGTACGACGGGTTGCACGGCAAACTTTGCATGGCCAAGCGTGGTTTAATAGACAATGACAGTGACTTTATACGTTATAAAGTTTATACTACAAAATTTTATTATTTATATTATAAAGTTTATGTTATAAAGTCACTGTCATTGTCTATATATAAACCACGCTTGGCCATGCAAAGTTTGCCGCGCAACCCGTCGTACTGCCTAGTATGTATCTGTAACACCCTGTACTCTTTAAAAAAAGTTAAGTTTACCTTACAACAGTAAGATAAATTCAACTCTCTTACGGTCCATTTAAATTTGCCAAAATTATTTTTTTATTTGAATATATAATAGAGAGCGAAATAATCGATCCCGAAAGTTAATATTAATTCTAGTCCCGACTTTTCAATTACCGATTAATTCCAGAATATAAAAGGGATACGTAACGAGATCCTATAACGAGCTCGTGAAAATGTCAGAGTGCTATACTAAAATAACAGACCGGTTTCGCGATGTTCAATCAATCAAGATTTTATTAGTCAAATGTCAAATGTTGGAGCAATCGATGTCGTTGATCGAATAACAAGAGCTATGTAATTGAAGATACAGCGACAATTAGCGACGTAGAAATGTATGTCGCACAATTAAAGGAAAGACAAAGAAATTTAATTGAGACACCGTGTTGACATAACAGCGCGACAACGTGGCATAAAGATCACTTGCGCTCTAGTAACGCGCACATGCGTTTGCGACCACGGGCAATTCAAGGCAAAAGGAGGGATGCGACGACGACGTAGGAATAACAATATGCCGTGTAAAAAGAACGACTTTCGTGGAGGCACATCCATTGTCGTGAATGATTAACACGAGAAACAGTGTGACGCCACGCTGCGCCGTACGCGATGCCACGTATTTATACCGCATAGCGATGCACTTGCAATTAGTAGCATTACGCGCGCAATTCTCACGATTAGCCGCGATCTTTTTTTTACCCTTGACCGTATAATTCTGAACAATTTCGATTAAATAGTCACGCGGAGCGCGGAGAAGTCATTTTTCCCGCGGATAAATGAACTAGGAATTAACGTCAAGAACAATAGCTGTTATCATATTATTGAGGTAATTTAAAAAAAACGCATATAGCTTTGGAAAATAATTTCAAGGATAACACGAGACGTAAGACGTGTTTTTATCTAATCATTTTCTATTACAGAGAAGTTCGTCTTCTTTATTTCAATCGTGACTGTTATCGTGGAAGCTCAGCAACAAAGACGCTGCTGAGGTTTACAGCGGAAAAGATATTTTTCTCCCTCCCCCCCCCTCTCTCTCTCTCTCTGTGTATGGTAATAATAAATACGAAGGGCACGCGTTAGACATAAAAGCGACTTCGAGACTTTTACGTTTCTTTGCAAGCTGGTTTCATTTCCACTCTACGTTCCTTCAATGAATAATCTATTGCGCGTCTAACGATTATTCGACATTTGCGCAAGATATTCGCTCCATTTATTAATGGCAAGATAAATTATTATTTGATTATTATATTAAATGCAAATACTTATTAAATTATATAATTGCTAAGAATTTTCGGCTAGAAAAATCATTTAATCTTTATGTTTAATTAAGTTTTGTATTAAGACAGAATAAACATAGTAAATTTTACCGTTAAAAATTAAAACTTATTGTACATTCTTCTTTTTCTTCATGTTAAAATTCAACGCGGTTAATCCTTTAATTTCGACAGAAACGTGATAAGTCCCCGCTAATAGATACGCGGCCGAAAAGAAAGAAAAAAACAGAGGCGGCATAAATGAGATTGTAGATTACGCCTTCTCGTCAAGAATTGCGCAGTGCGTATTATTATCGCAATTGCTGAAGTTGCCACATGCCCATTACAGTGTGAGCATCAGAATGGAAGCCAGCACGAAATTAGCATACTGTGTATTAAGTACGCGACTCCTAACTTCTCAAGCGCAGAATGGAAGAATGAGGATCGCTGTAAATAACAGCTGATTAATTATTGGCAAGAGAAGATTAAATACCTTCAGAATTTTTATCTCCTTCACAACGTAAACATATATTTAAAAAGATAAAGAGATGTTTAAAGGTATTTACTCGGACTAAACATGTTTAAAAAGAAGATAAAACGGTATTTAAAAAGATAAGATAAGCGCATAATCTTCGTGAAAGATAAATTATTCATTAAAAAAATAAATAAACATGAGTAAAATTTCGTAAAAAAGAAAACAATCTTCAGAATCTTAAGAATATTTTGGTTATACAATATCAGATAAAAGTATTAGTCAAAAAATGAGACAAAATAGGCTAATGTATATTATACACTGTAAAAAATAAAATGTTAATTTTACCTTACAGATATATAATGGACTTTTTGAGACATGCAAAAATGTTAACACAAACATGTTTATAACATTTTTGCATATTTCAGAAAGCCCATTACACACATCTTCAAGTTAAAATTAACATTTTATTTTTACAATGTAGGCCAATATCATTTTAAAAAGATGATATTGGCCTGTAAATACGTCCTGAAATTAACTGTAAAACACGAAGCAACAAATTTGATTTATAATAAATTTTATGCAATAAAATGACTATATTTTTCTGCAGTTTCAAGTCAATAACTTTTAATTTCAAGTCAATAACCTTTAAATGAGTAAGTCCAAATAAACTTTTGTATAACGAATATTTTTATTATTATTTGATCAGTAAAATTTGATTTCTTAATTTTACTTCGTCATCAAATTTGCAAATAAGTATCACAAAACGCAATTTCGCATAAGAACCAAAACAAACAAAAAATTAAATAACTTTTAAATTATGTAATAAGAGAATTATATTCCAATTTTACGCCAATATTGAGACGTAATAGAACAATCTATGAAATTTTTATATTTTCGGTATTGCTTTAGATACGACACATATATGTATACATCTTTAATTCAATTACGATATTCATGCGTATAGATATAAAATTTACATAATTACGAAGAGTTATCTAATATTTACGATAAGAATTGCAAATGGAACGACAAGTGAGAATACTTCAGATTCTTATCGAGCATTACTGATTTAATTATTATCGGAGCGATGCACGATCGTATGAAATTCCGCGTCTTATTAAGAGCGCCTTGTAAGCATCATGATCAGAAATAGGCCCCACTCTCATGAACGCAGCATCGTATTTCTTTATATGATGGTTAATAAAACGGATGAATCATGTTCGATGTCAAGTTCAATGATC